TCCTGCTTTCATGTCTACACTAAAGCGATTGCAAAATATTTGAGGCATCCTCCATGTCATGCATGCCATGTCGTGGATATCATGCCATGGCATTAAATAGCTTGCATGCCAGCATGCCACATACTCTGCTATGATTCTCATCACCACAGCAGTAGCATACGCTCACTTTTTGGCACGGTCCTTCCATCACAAGCTATCTGCATGCGTGGAATCCGCGCTGAGTGAGATCCGCTTCGCACTCGACTTACTTGCAGGCATCATGCGCTTAACACATGCAACTGTCCCAACTCTTTGCCCTTCATTTTTTCATTCCCTGGAGTCACATTTGGTCAGTTGCCGTAAGCACGCTCGCCATGCCCCCTCGAACGTCCCCACTGTAAACATCAGCCATTCCCAGACAGAGTGGCATATCGCGGGTGTGCTTCCCCAAACCCAACCAGGGTTCTCAAGTCCAACAAGTTTTCTGGCAATCTTCCTCCCACCCTCACCGAAATCACAGACCTTACAGAACTGTGAGTGTGAGCAGCAAGCAACCTGCACGCAAGAAAGCAAGCATGCATAAGCAACTAATGAAGCTGCATCTCACATCATAGAATGCAATGCACATCACATTAAACATCCGTTTCTGGTGACCACAAATGGATGAAATTGGAGATAGTGTGTAACACTTGGACTCCTGGATATAGGAAGTATGTGTATAAAATGCGCAAGAGTGTAGTTCATCTCTAGAATAGCATGTTCTTGTCCCTTAACCTTGAAGCAAAGGTGCTCATTCCTCTCATCTCAGCTACCAACGAATTATTACTTGCCCAACCGTTTGTCAACCACACGGGCGTTGGCACACGAGAAAATAATTTCATGACAGCAATTTCGTTTCCATCAAACTCGAATGAGTTTTTGCCACAATCAGCAAAGATGAATTTGTCTCCTCGTTACAATCCCCTCCTCCTTTCCACGCACAGGGATCTGAGTTCCAACCAATTGTCCGGGCCACTGCCGACCATCCTTAGTCTTGCCACTTCTCTCCTCCACCTGTAAGTTCCCTTCCTACCCATCAGTCCCCTCCAAACCATCAGTCGTCCTCGCACTGGACTCCCCCCCTATTAAAACTTTACAGATGGAAGAGCTAGACCACAATCTCACACTTAAATAATATATATAATCTTTTATCCTAGTTCAGTTCAGTGTGAATGTACTTTCTGTGGTTTAAATATCAGAGGCAATTCCTATCTCATCCATTGCATCTGCTGCGGCATTTCAACCACATAATGACCCTGGGTATCGAGGCGTTATACTGTTACCAGAGCCTAGGGTTCGAGTCCCGGCTGGGTCACATTTTCCTCTATGAGCAAAAAACTTGAATGTGGTAACCTACTTGCGAACGAACCTCCGCTGGCCTGATACTACCAGCAAAGTCGCTACCACCTTTACAGCAAATTTGAGGTCCCTGCGGGGGCCGACTTTCTGCTGGAGTTCTGAACAAATGAGGATGTTGGCACCAGGGAGGGACGAGTGTAACGCTTGTGGGCTGTGCTGAAGGCCACCCGCTGCGCCTAAAGAACACCCTGATTTTGATCCAGTGGGTAGCGAGGCGTTATACTTATTGTGGATTATCCTTGATTTCCCAATCAATCTTGTTGCACTAAAAAAGCTTTGAGCTTCAATCAATTCCATGTCGTTGTTAAGATTGTCCTACCCACTCATTAATCTAGTACAATACCCTGGGCCAACTCACAAACAGACTCTCCCCCATCAACCTCTCCTCTTACTTCCCCTCTCCTCTGCTCACTACCCTCTAACTCCTCCCTCTATTCTCTCCCTCTCTCCTCTCCCTCTCTCCTCTCTCGCTCCTCTCTTCTCCATCTCCCCCATATCCCCCCTCTCCACCCTCTTCCCTCTCTCCCTTCCTTCCCCAACAGCGACCTCAGCAGCAATATCTTCTCGGGATCGCTGCCTTTGGGCTACAGCCGCCTCTCCCAGCTCTCCACGCTGTCAGTACCACAATTTAGCATGTGTCGTGCTACAACACATGATTGTATCTCCAACCCATGTACTTCGTTCACAATCATGGTCGTCCCTCCCTGCCAGGCACACTTATCCCTTATCACTGCACTGCACCCCATTTTGCCATTCAGGGGCCTGTCATCCAACCTTCTCTCAGAGCCCATCCCAGAGCCGCTTATTGCTGCCCTAACCAACACACCCCACCTGTGAGTGTGTGGACCCCGTTTGACTCCTTTCTAGTTCCTGTAATCCCCCTTTTGTTCTTCCTTGAACCTGCTCGAGTGACTCAAGCTATGAGTGTGTGGTGTGGGGATGCACTATTGTTAGTCAAGCTCTTTCGCTTCTACTTGACGTGCATTTGATTCAAAACCACCTGCGTGTCATCGTATGTTCCCTTCTACTCGCTTTCTTCCGAATGTGACTTTCTCCAAAGGCCGTGCCATGCCATGCCACACCACAGCACACATCACCACAACACACCATGCCATGCCATGTCCGTTGTACCACAGGGACCTGAGTCACAACCAACTGTCTGGATCCATGCCTTCCTCCCTCTCCCTCCTCACCAAACTCACCAACCTGTTAGCGACTATCCTTCATTAGTATTGTGACCTTTTCACCCGTTTGTGGCCATCCTTGTGCTTTCCTCTGTCCTCTCCACTGCCTCTGCCAGGTTCTCGCACAACTCTCCTAACCCCCTCCTAACTCTCTCGCACACACACCTTCAGCCTCTCCACTCTCTCCCTCTCTCCTCACAGAAACCTGAGATTCAACCATCTGTCGGGCACGCTTGTTCCATCCAGCTTCACGTCTCTTCAGGAGCTGTATGCTCTCCCCGCCCCTCACTGCACTCCCTTCGCTGCACTCCACATGCTCTCCCTTCACTGAACTCCCAGCAACAGCACCATCCCTCTCATCTTTCCTTGTGGTGAAAAGCACTGACTAGCCTTCTCATGCTATCTCGGACAATAGTATTATTATTTGCAGCAAGAGAATGTGTTTCCATCAGAATGCATTTTGCCTCTTCTTGTATGCCACATGTCAACCTGCTCTCTGCCTTGTCTCTTCATTTCTCTGTCAGGTTGTCCCTTTGTCCCTATGCCGCTCAACTTCTTCCTCCAGATCTTTATCCAACAACGTTTTCACAGGTTCCATTCCAGTAGATTTTATTGTGTGGAATGCCAACATCTAGAAGCTGTGAGCACCATTGCTTTCTTGCGTCCCTCATAACCGGACACAACCACATGAACAACCAAGCAAGCGCTGTAAAATTCGTGTGCTTTGAAAACCTGCATTGCAAAAGGCTGTACGAGGAAGCACACACGTGCTATCTCATGCAATGGTGTGCCATTATGTAAAGCACAGACATGCACAAGCATATTTGCATGCAGTTGCACATGTGTCTCCCCCACCACCACTGCACAACACTTGTGTTGTACAGTTGTCCACATTCATACGTATTTAGATGCTTTATGTGCCTTACTCCACATGCTCATGTGCACTCTTCCGTTTGTGTGCATATGCATACCCCCACCACACATATACATGTGCTCTCATGCACAACCGCAGGCTGGTACACATCCCCAGTGTTTTGCTGTGATGTCCTTTTCCTCTTGGTTCCTTGTCTGTCACCATTCGCCTGCTCTTGATCTTCTCATCATTGTCTTCCACCCCCTCTGTCTCACCCTTTCCCCTTTGATATATGTTTTTTATCCCTTGCCGCTCTGTGTATGCACGGTAGGGACCTGAACTACAACCAGCTATCAGGAACTATGCCTACAGGGATCACTGCATTGGATGTCATCACAAACTTTTAAGTGCAATCATTGCTGCTTCATGTGCGCTTTCACACGTCCTCTTGATTTTTCCTTGTCATTCATGCCATACCAAATGCCATGTCAGACCATATGCCGTGCGTCATGGTTTAGTCACAATAGGCTTCATAATGACTTAAACAAAAAATTGGAGTGCAGAGACAGAGTTTTGCTTTGTGGCTTCAAAACTTGATATCACTGTGGTCAAAGAACCGAATGATGTGCTATAGATTGGATCTGGAGCGTCTTAATGCTCCCTAAGAAACCCAGTTGAATTACTCTATTTGATAAAGAATCAATGACACAGTAGTAGTTTGAGTTGGCAGTAGACTTGGAGCATCTATTGTCAATTTCGGAAACAATTCGAGTTGGGAATGATTCCGACAACTCCCCAACCATGAAAAGTCTTGAAACTAATGCCATTCAAAAGACTTGAAAGGTGGTGTCTTCTCACTTCATCTCCATCCTGTTGTCATGTAACTTGTCATGCTATGCCAACTAATCCCAAACAAGAGTTGTCTTCTTACTTCATCTCCATCATATTGTGCGATAAAGAATAGTTGTTGCTATACATGTGCACCCACCGCTCCCACCTACCTTCTTCCATTTCTTCCGTTTTATCCCTTTCATTTCACCTAATATACCACCCCCAACCAAATCATCTCTTCCTTCACTCCCAGCGATCTGAGCCACAACGACCTTTCTGGCCCTCTCCCAACCAGCTTCAGCAGCATAACTACTCTCAAGGCCCTGTGAGTGCTGCACTGCACCTCTGCCTTCTCCCACCTTCTCTTTTCCTTTGCTTCTGCAACTCTGGTAGGGGAAAGTCCGAGGCTCCGCATGTAGCATGCGTTTCTGGGAACCCATCCTTCTCAATTGCTTGTTTGCACTTCATGCAGCCTGGCAAAGCGACAAGGTGAGTGGCATTCTCTCTCGTCGCAGCCTCTCCTCACTTTCCACTTTTTTGTAAACCCCCCTCCAAATTCACATCCCCTCCCTTCACCCTTTCCTTCCTCCCCTCCCCTCCCTCTTCCCCCCGTGTGCCTTCCTTCCCCCTGCCTTGCCGCCCCCTGTCTCCCCTCGCCCCTGGCCGAGCTCCTCATTCATGGCAGGAACCTGAGTAGCAACGAGTTGACCAGATCCATACCCACTGAGTACTCCACTCTTACGAACCTCCAAGCCATGTCCGTACCTCTCCAATCCTCACGCACGACACCCCATGTGCCAGCTCTCCTTTTCCCCTCAGTTCCATTTTCCATTTTCATCGTCAAACTCCCCCACACTCACTGCCCCCCAGTGGCTTCCCACTTCAACTTTCTCTTCCAAGAATTCAACCTCCTCCCCTCTCTCTCCCCATTCCGTTCCCTTGTCCTATGTCTGACTGCTCTTTCATACCCTCCTGTCGTCTCCCATCCATTTTGTCAGTTTTGCACCTCACTTCCACTTTCTTGCACTCCTCATTTGCTTCTCACTCCTCCCCCTTCACCCCACCCACTCCCCGCTGTTGGTCATGTGTCATTCTCATACCCTTTGTCCATTTCAATTAAGTGTTTTTCAGTATTCTCATCGGCCTTTAGCCTACTCTCATTCCCATCCTCCTTCCCGCTGCCCTCTTCACCCCCGCAGCAACCTCTGCTGCAACCAGATCAGCGGCACCCTGCCCACTCTTCTCGGAGGACTATTTAAACTGGAATCCATATGAGTGACCCTCGCAGGCCAAACCATGTGAGTGATGAACGCAGGCTGAGCCACGCGAAGGATTTGCAAAGCAAACCGCATCCAACATATTATACACATGCAATACAACTACCTCTCACCCATCATTGATTTTCCTTGGAAACAAACGCAAGCACAGTTTTCATAAATGCTGGACGCAGACTTATGAAAGCCTGGCCTTTTCTGATTGAGCCGAGAAGAAGGGTGTTAGAAATACGCTGTCAACACATTTGTTTACTCTGTTTTATATCGTGTAGGTTATTTGTAGGTTGGGTGTGAATCTGTTATCCCAACCTTATCTGGTTGGGATTCCCCCGTAGTCCAACAAATCTGCCAACTCATCATTGGAGATTTGCTTGGATTCCCATCCCATCCTTTCCCTAGATTTGCCCATCCCAACTTTGGTTGTACTTAAGGCCTAGTGCCTTCTCTCTTAATCAATCATTTCTAGCCCAGTTCTGACAAAGGGTACACTAGCTAAGTTCAAATGCTTGCTTCCGTCTGTGCACTTACAAGGAATCACCCTTTTTCCTTACCACTGTTGCTGCTAATGCTCGTTGCGTCAGCGTTTCCCCTTGTCCCATACAGCAACCACCAACAACAGCAATGTTGTGCTATCTGCAATGAGGTTCCTTTTTCCCTTTCTACGATGTTTTATTTCTACCTATTTGTTTCTCTAATGCCACCTCTACTCTCCTATCCTCCCATCCTATCCATCCCTTCCAATTCCCACTCTATAATCTCTGTTGTCTCACCCACATCTCTCTCGTTGTCTCTCTCTCTCTCTCTCTCTCTCTCTCTCTCTCTCTCTCTCTCTCTCTCTCTCTCTCTCTCTCTCCCTCGGCAGTGACCTGAGCAACAACCGTCTACATGGAACCATCCCCACTCAGTACACCGGCCTTGTTTGCCTCACTCTACTGTGCGTCCACCCCATCGGCCACATCCCTCTCATCCCCATCCACCATTCTCTCCCCCCTCCCCCGCCTTGTCTCTCCTCCTTAATGCCTGCTAATTCGCAAGAATTCATACATACCTTACAGTGAAACTGTTCAGCACTCCGCATCCCCCTACATTCCAAGCTTCTCCCTTCTCCTATCCCTTTTCCTCCCCTGCCTGATTCATCTGCTCTTCGCCTTTCTCCATTTTCTCATCCCTTGCGCTTCACCCTCCTGTCAACAGAACGGACCATTAGCGATGATTGGAGCTCCTTGAAAGCCCTCCCTCGACTTCTCCCCTCCCCCCTCTCACTCCTTCCACTCTTCTCCACCCTTGTCGCAGCAACCTGCGCAACAACCAGCTGACAGGCCCCGTACTGCAGCCCATCCCAGCAAACCTCACCGTCTACGATCTCGACAACAACTACCTCTCCTCAGGCTTCTCCTCCCCGCCCAACTGCTCTGAACGCTCCATCTCCTTCCGCTTCAACTGTCTTAGAATACCCACCCAAGGGTACTCCTGCCCCACGCCTGCCACTCCCTCTGGTGCAGAGGCAGCGGTACAGCGACCAGAAGAGCTCTGTGATGTATTTTGCGGCGTGAGTGCTGCCGATCCCCCGTGCGGCGGGCATGGCTCGTGCTATGCGGACGGGCCTAACAGAGTGCCCACGTGTGCCTGCAACGCCGGGTTTGTCAACGGGGAGCTGCCTGGAAGCTGCGTCCCTGAAGGAAGTGAGTGCAGGAGGGGGAAACGGGGGACGAGGAGACAGTGAGGGCGGTTTGGGTTGTTTTGCCGTGCCGTGGGAAAGGGGTGACATGTTTCTGGAATCTTATTGCTCACGAAGATTGCTGTAGAGTAGAAAACACTTAGCTTAAGTCACCTAGCTAAGCCACCTATTCCAAGCTCGTTTTTCCCAACGTCTGGTCAGTAGGGTGCCCCAGTGGCAGTGCAGCTCACAACAGTAGGAAGTGCCGCAAAGCTCTCAAAAAGTGGTTTGTCTGCCCATGCATTCTAAACACGGGTTTCTCTGCCCGTGCATTCTAACCACGGGTTTCTTTGCCCGTGCCTTTCCTTCCCGTCCCTGCCTGCCATGCCTTGTCCTTTCCCATCACCAGGTCAAGAGGGTGGCGCAGTAGCCGTGCAGCCAACAGCAGCACAGACAATAGTGAAGGGGGGGGCAGCAGTGGCAAGCAACGGGAACATCACGCTCACAGCCTCACAGCCCAACACGTGGGGTGCAGCGTTTTTCAAGCTCCCCGTCCCACTCTTCTCCTTCGCCCTTAAGGCTGGTGATTGTGGCCGCTCCTTGGCCTTCACCATCTATTTCTCCTCCATTCTCAAACCAGCCACCGCAAGAAAGGCAGCGCCCACAGCTGCGGGAGATGCAGGAGATGGGTTTGCCTTAGTGATTTCCGCCAGTACCTCTGTCACGGGCGGCAGCAGTGGCAGCAACAACAGCAGTGGGGGCAGCGGCAGCTTGGGGTATGCAGGCATGGATGAGCGCAGCATTGCAGTGGAGTTTGATTCTGCGAAGAGCACCGACGCCAACAACCCAGACAACAACCACGTAGGAATGAGTGTGAGGGGCAACACCTCTTCCATCGCAACTGCCAAAGCGCCCTTCACTCTCAACGACGGCAAGCCAAAGCATGCCTGGATTGTCTTCGACCCCTCTCCTTCCTCCTCTAGTACTACTGGCGGTGCCGGTGATGGCTATGACAGCAGCAGCAGCAGTGGCACAGGGTTGCTGCAAATATTTTTGTCGAGAAAAGCATCCCCCCAGCCTAGAAAGGCAGTGGTGTCAATGCAGGTGTCGCTGTGCGAGTTCCTGCAGCCCAGTGCAGCCGAGGCGTCGTTCCGCATGGGCTTCTCTGCTTCCTCCTCCGACTCCCCACAGCAGCACTTCATCCTCACCTGGAACATCACCACAGGTCCCCACTGCTGCTCCCTGTTTCTCGCTGCTGCTCCCTGTTTCTCTCTGCTGCTCCCTGCTGTTCAAAGCTGCCCCCTGTTGGCCCCTGCTGCAGTGTGCTCCCCCTGGTGTCGATCGTTCCTCTGCTGGTCCCTCTAAAGTTCATTCATCCATCCTTGTTGTTGGCTGCTGTCACTGTCCCATTCCCTGCGCCGTCCCACTCCAACAATTATCCTCTCTGCCACTCCACCAATTTTTCTTTCACACCAGGAATGGCCCGGAATGACCCACTCAACCTTGCTCCCTTAGTATACCCTTCCCCATGTGGTTTTGTCTGTCCGTGCGTTTAACTCTCTCTTTCCAGGCCTCCCGGAATCAACCACACTTACAGGTATGACTGACTTGAGCTGAATCTACAACCTTCTTGGTTCTCTTCGTTCTCTTGGTTATCCACCGATTCATCATGAAAATCCTCCCCTAAATCTTTGCCCAAGTCCTCCCTTCAATCTCTCACCAAGTATACCCCCCAATTTTCCCTCAGCCCTTTCTCTATATCCCAACCAATCCTCCCACCACTCTCACTTGCTCCTTGACTTGACCATTTGGCTTTCTTTCACCCTCCACACCACACACATATATCATATTATTCCCATGCCCACGCTACCCCTGTCCACCCTGTTATACCCTACCTAACCCTACTCTTACCCCACTCTACCGTATCCCAGGCCAACAATTTGGGTTCAGGTTCAGTGAGGCATCGCTGTCACCAGTGGGGGCGAATCCTTTTTTCCGCTACGCCAGTGTGGGCGTGCAGGCACTGCAGCCAGGAGGAGGGGGAGAAAGCGGGGGAGGCGGAGGGGGTAAGGAGGAGGAGGTGTGGGTTGTGAGCCAGGCGTTCTCTTGGGCTGACCAGGGGCTGCCGTGGCCCATCCAGAACCAGGGCGCCTGCGGTGAGGGCATGGCGGTGGGGAGGGAAGGGGAGGCAAGGGGATGGGATTGGTGGGACGAGATGTGGTGGGATGTGATGCGATGGGATTATTTTGGGATCTGATGGAATGGGATGGAATGAGTTTTCTTCACTTGAGGCTCAAAGGGTGAGAGGGCATGAGAGGGCATAAGCGGGGTGGGTGGGCACTGTACAAATGCTTGTGGTGACAAATGATCTGCTGTGGCTTGTCCTTTCCCAACCTTTCTGTACTCATCTTCCGTTCCTCACGTTCCCCTCCATCTTCTCCCCTGCTTCCATCTCAGCAGGCATACGCAGTCATAGGCCAGCATGGAAGCCCACTTTAACAACCCCTCACCTCTTCAACCTCTCCCCTCGTTCCACTCTCCCACTCCTCTATCCCAGGCGACTGCTGGGCATATGCGGTGGTGGGCAGCATAGAAGTGGCCTACAGCATTCTCTTCAACCTCTCCACCGTGCCGCTCCTCTCTGTCTCCCAGCTGCGTGAAGCCCTTGGCGCCTCATGCTCTCAGGGAAATTCGCCTTCACAGGCCTTCCAGTACCTCGTCACTCTTAACACCAAGAGCAAAGTGGGGCTCATGGAGGATGCGGCTGGAGTGGTGGTGAGAGGGAGGAAAGGCAGGAAGAGCAGCAGCCAGAGCCCGCTCTGTGGCATGCCTGTCTTTGCTCTGCTCTTGCAAGCGCTTGGGGTCTCCTGCAGCAAAGGCCGGACCCCTGGATTGGTAAGTAACTTTTGTCGCTTCTACTATTCAGGTACTTCATCCACTAATATTCTTTGGTTATCATCATTTACGTGTCTCACATGTACTGATCAATGCCACATTTTAGGTGTCTACAAAAGTCAGGTCTCTCGACAACCGCTTGACCATGTGGCGATCGTGTGCATCAGGTGCCTACTCCAGTCCATTGTTGTCAAACAAATCCTTGAGCATCTCAAATCCATCACAATCAGTACTTCTTTTGCAAAATCGAGGGCAGCAATGTCCATACATGCAGTGTGGGCACCTCAAGACGAACCCCAGACTGTGTTCCCCTTGACATGCCCCCTTGTCTTTTCACTTGCCTCGTGTATTTGCCCATGTCTATGGTGAAACATGTCCACAAAATAGTGTCATTCAACAGCTCTCTCATGCTGCTACAATACTGCACAACGTGGCAAAGAACTCTCCCCAGATTTTTAGACCAATCAGAGATCGGTACATGAGTTAGAAGCCAAAATGGTGAACTCCGGTGACAAACCAAATGAGAACACAGATTTCTTAATGCCATATGTCTTGTATTTTAACATTGTTGGCATCCTCTTAATACTGCCACATGGCTCAAAAACTTTGATATCTTGGTGAAGCTGAGAGGACTTGTACGTCAAATGGGAGTGCGATGACCATGTCATTATAGTGTACTGGCACAACACCTACCTACACCCCAACACCTCTTGCTCCACCCCTTCTTCTAAGCCACCTCCAATATTCCCGCTGCTCCAACCCTCCTCACATACCCCCCCTCCCCTACCACTATTTCCCAATCCCTTCTCCCATGCCCCCTCCGCAGAGCAAGCCATCGGGGGGGCCGTTCGGGGTGAACGGGTTTGAGCGCACGGCGTTCCACGGCTGGTTTGGGCTGCTGCTGGCCGTGCAGCGACAGCCCGTGGTGGTGCATGTGCAGGCCACTGCCCCTTCTTTTCTCAACCACGATGGGGTGAGCCCACTCACCCACTGATACACACACACACACGCACACACTCACGCACACACACACACGCGTGTGTGCGTGCACACGCATACTGACTCGCTCCATATCCATGCGCTCCAAAATTTCTTCCACTCCCTTCAAATCCAGCTATCCAAGTACGCGGACCCAGAGTGCTTCACGTACAACCTGAACCACGTGGTGCTGCTGGTGGGCTATCGCCTCACCGGCTTAGACCCCACCTTCCCACACATGGCGCCGCCCTTTTGGATCATCCGCAACTCATGGGGCCCGGAGTGGGGCGACGGCGGGCACATGCGGATGGACATTCAGGGGGGCGACGGCGTGTGTGGGATCAACACGCTGCCTGGGATCTACCCGGTGGTGCGCGCTGCCAAGGACCCCTGCAACGTCAACGGCACCACCAGTGGGGTGTTTGGGCCGCTCTTCAACCCCTGTGGCAACTTTACGTGTACGCCCACGCCTGATGGGGCCAGCAACCACTGCGACTGTAACGACCTGCGATTCGTCGAGGCTCTTCAACCGGACAACTCGCGCACCTGTGCTTACAGTGAGCTCTCTCTCTCCTGTTCTTACAGTGAGCCCCCTCCCCCTACTTACATTGGCTCTCTTTCCATTGCTTATAAATGCTGCTCTTTCTTGTCTCCATCTTGTCATTTTGAAGGCGTCTTTAATGTCAATACACAAGTCATGATAACCGCCACGATGCTCACATGGCTGCAAAGATGTTATCAGCACCACGGCACACTTTGACCGTTAGGCACCATCTCTCAGTCGCCTCAAAGCATGCTCTTATTCGCTGTGTCTTTCATCTCTTGCCTTGATCCCCAGAGGACGCGTGCAGGGCAGTGGTGCACAATCCATGTGCAGTGGGCACGTGTGTGAATGATGGCAAGGGGTCGTACTTGTGTGTGTGTCCTCTGGGTTTCAGGCAGGGCACCACCGTTGATGGCACCTTCTCCTGTGGTCCAGGTAGCCTTGCTCTTTTGTGCTCCTGATTCATGTTATGACAGCCACTTTTTCCCACGCTTACTAATGTGTTGCCACTGCCAAGTACGGCATTTCTTTTCTTTTAGGACGTCTAATTACTCAGGCTATGCTACCAACATGCCTTTCGTTACCGCTGTTAAAGTTAGCCTTCAAACTCAACTTTTGTTGTATTTGTTTTTGTTCTTACCAGTAGGTCCTAGTTTTTTGTAATTGCTGCTTTGAGTATTCGGTGTTACACCAGCATCCCAACCTTACCCAAATGTGATCAGCCGAAATTTCCAACCCTTCAATTGGATATTTCAGCCGATCTCATTTGGGATTGCACCTGATTCTTTATCCATTCATTCTTGCCCACAGCTGATGTACTTAACAAGCTTGAGCTCACTACCTAACGTATAGATTCTAGCTCAAATTTCTTACAGCCATCCCTCTTGAATCACATGCATATCCTTTCATAACCAACGGCCCCACCCATTCATGTGCGCCATTCCATCCGCACCACTGCATCTGCACCACACATCCATCTGCACCACCCTGCGCCGCACTGCACAGGCGACCCCAGCAGCACATACACGGTGGTGTCGTGGGGTGTCACGTGTGCCGACATCAACCCCGTCTACGGCCTCACTCTCGCTCAGCTCCAACAACAGAACCCCGTGAGCCTCATTTCACGCCCAGAACCCGGTGGACCCTTGGACTCCTGCCTCTTCACTATCCACCTCCACGTTCCCCACTCTGTGTAGGGCTCTCTGTGGTCCACACCATTACACCATTCATTCCACTACTGCTTGTTGAGCCTCTTCCTCACATTTCCTCAAGGCTCTGCCCACACTCTGCACGTTGAGTCCCCACACTCCCAACCTCATATTGCATCCTTCATCTCCTTCACCCTCCACTACCCACTCTGCTCCCCCTTTCCCTCCAGGGTCTGAGCTGCAGCGCTCCTCTTGCTGTCGGCACGGTGGTGAACGTGGTCCAGCCACCAAACCTCACGCCATGCGCCATTTACTACACCACGTCCCAGGTCGGCCTCTGCACATTCTCTCCTCCCTCCCTCCCTCCCTCCGCCTCTTCTTCTCTCTCCCTCCCTCCCTCTTTGCGCCTCCCTCCCACTGCTGCTGCCCGTAGCCTGCAGCCTTCCATGTATTTAACCTCTCCTCTTCACTTCCTGCACGCCCCTCCTCAATCTTCCGGACCATCTCCCATCAGTCACTCTGCCTACTCCAAAACTTCACACCATTCTACTTCTTCTTCTTCTTCTTCTTCTTCTTCTTCTTCTTCTTCTTCTTCTTCTTCTTCTTCTTCTTCTTCTTCTTCTTCTTCTTCTTCTTCTTCTTCTTCTTCTTCTTCTTCTCCTCCTCCTCCTCCTCCTCCTCCTCCTCCTCCTTCTTCCTCTCCCACCCTTCTTCTCTTCCCACCCTCCTTGCTCTCTTCTCCTCCTCCCTCTCACCGTCTTCCCACCAGGGAAACACTCGTGAGCCGTTGAAATCTGCTTCTTTTTCTCTGCACCGGCTGCAGTGCCAAAGATCAAACCCCCAGCCCTGTGAAGCAGCTTTCCACACACTCAGCCCTGGACTGCTTTTCCGCCTGTTCCCCTCCTCTTGTCTCCTTTCATCCTGATCTTTCGTCCTTGCCTCTCATCCTCCGTTCTCCTTCCAACATTCCCCCCACTTCTCCTCTCCCCCCCTCCCTTCCATCCCCCCAGGGCGACACATGTGAGTCGCTAGCTATCTACTTCTCCCTCACCGCCGGATGCCCTACTCCCACTGAGCCCTGCGCAGCGGCCTTCCAGGCGCTCAACCCCGGGCTGGACTGCTCCGGCAGCGGGGAGCTGGTGGGCAGCCAGGCGGTGTGTGTTGAGCGGCGGGCGGAGAGTGCAGCGGTGCTGCTCATCCCGATGTGCTCGCAGTTCTATCTGGTGCAGGCCAGGGAGACGTGCGACCAGATCCGCTCCGTGCCCGCCCCGCCGCTCTCCCCTCTCGAGTTCTTCCGCCTCAACCCCGGCATCAAGTGCAGCCGCCTCGTGCCCAAGACTGACGTCGGCATCCTCACAGGCTTCGAGGTCTCCCACTCCTCTCCTCCCGCACCCTTCCCCCAAACCACCCTATTCCCGCATCGCCTTCCCTTCCCCTTTCCCACACTCTTCCTCCTTCCACTCTCTCCCCTCTTCCCCCCTCTTAATCCCAGCACCATTTCCCTTTCCTCCCTGCCCCTATCCTCTTGCGTCTGCTTTCCCCTCCTACCAGCCCCTGGGCATGCTGGTTAACTTGCTTGCCTGGCTATTGCTTGGGTCTCGACTCCACTCCTCCCCTGTACACCTCGACACCTTCATTCTGCATCGCCCATCCATTGCATTGCTCGTCCACTCCGCCTCTACGTTTCATTGTCTGCCGCTTCTCACCCAGCACGAACATTCAGACAGTTCCTTGAGCCTCCCTTCCCTCTTTCACCTCACCGTCATGCATCCCTTGGAGCTACTTACCTACCTCGCTGCCTACCTAGCTACCTCGCTACCTACCTAGCTATCTCACTACCTACCTAGCTACCTACCTACCTACCTACCTACCTACCTACCTACCAACTTTCGTACCTACCTACCGACTTACCTACTTACCTACCTATCTATCGACCTACCGAACGACCTATGTTTCCACCTCTGTGCCTTGCTTCTTTTTCCCCGTGCTCTCTTTCCCCTTTCTCCCCCCACCTCTCTACGCAAACTCAACTGCACGGCAAGTGCAGGCGTGCATAGGCAACTCATTCAGCTTCACGCAAGGAGTGTGCCCCAAGACTCGTGCGTACGTGGTTGGGACTAGCGACCGCTGCACTGGCCTGCAGGTCAAGTACTTCCGTGGAATCAAAGGGTGCTACAGAAAGACCAACGGCTACGATTGCATCGATAAGCTCGTCAAATCCACCAGAGTGTGCATTCCGGACCAAGAGAAGATCAAGGCCGGGAAATGCAAACCTTGACATGGACTTACTCCCCTCCGCTTATTCATATCTCTTCACACCCGCTTTTCTCAGGGTTGTGAACCATGTATGTACAGACGATGTCTTTTTTAGTGGATCCTTCGTGGAATTCCTAGCATTCTTTGGAAAAGAGCTCAGAAATTGTTTCCACGGCCCTCGACACTCATACCTCCGAGTTTAGCTGGGGTTTCATCAGACCAAAATACAAATGATAGCAACAATCAAGGTGCACTTCATTATGTCGCACTAATAGAAACAACAATTCTACAATCTTTGTAGTATTGACTAGCTGCTTCTGCAACCAGCTTAGATGCTCCTTGTGAAGATCAAGGCCAAGAAATGCTCTCATCGACATGGACATACGCCCCTCCGCTTAATCATTCCTCCTCAGCCATTGTCCGATTATAGTATACCCTTTTTTCTCAAACCGTATTGTTCCGGCTATAGGACCCACTGGTAAGAAGGTCCCCCGAGACTCTCTATCGGCAATGGGACTCATATTTTGGCAAGTTTTGTGAGGATCCATCCTTTGCCCCTAATCAATTTAAAACCTCTCTGTTCTGCATACAATAGATATAAATGCTATTGCGCATCAGCATATACAGCCACAAATTCGAATTCTGACTCGTTGTTTGTGTCAGACTCGAATTCTGACACGATCTTTGTGTTAGACTCGAATTCTGACACAGATCTTGCGCACCACCCGCGCGAAATTTGCACACGATGGGGTGTTTTTTGTTACGAATATAAAATCCCCCCGCCCCATATTGAGCCGTACATCCTAAATGACAGATTGATAGTTGATAAACAAGTGTACCCGGGACTTATAAAACTACTGCCACATATATGTCCAACGTTGCAATTTTTTCCGCATTTGTAAAGAGTCCCCCGGGTCCTATAGCCGGAACGGTAGTTTTCAATTTGGAATGGTGTTTCTTTCAATCACCACTACCGTAGAAGCATTTCCTTTTTCTGGTAAAAATTAGTTCGGTTATACCTTTATTCTCTTGGGAGACCCTAAGGGCTGGGTTGTTCTTGTTGACATCCTGACTTGACAGATGTTGCTCAGTTGGATTGTGTGAACTTGCGTTGCACTTGTTTGTGTTGGGCCGTTTGTCATTCACAATGTACCATATGTTTTCAACCTAATAAACAATTTTCACTGGATAGGTTTAGTCATTCCTCCTCCCATCAACAAATCTAGCACGGACGCTCTTATCCCTTACTAGTGGCACAAGAAGAAGCACTTGAAGTTTTGGTAGTCCTTGAAAATGGTTCACAGCGATTTGTTGGGAGGGGGTTGTAAAAGCATGGAAGAGTTGCTCACATGTGATATTTTGCAGCAGCAAGGATTGGTGGTGGGGTGGCAAATATCCGTGGCAAAAATGGATCCCCACCCTGTTGGTGGAAAGTGGAATTTCCAGTCGCTTGCCAGATTTGACATTGATATGAATGGTGTAGGTTAAGGATCGGGTGACCTGTAGTGCTCTGCCTTTCTTTATCGCCTCGGGTCTTGTGTTGCATTAAGAGTGGCATGCTATGTGCATATGGCACGAAAATGATGGAGATATTAAAGTGTATAATGAAAAGCCTGTTTCTTCGATAGTAGATATGTCGAGCAAGAATGGTGAGGGCCCTTCTCTCTCACGCACATTCATATCGCTTGAGATTTTGCCTTTCTTAAAAATGTGATTCGGAAAGATTGCGAGGGCCTGTGAGGTTTCTGCAGAGATTCCCGGTTCCTCCTTCCATACGCTGCACCTTCAGCAGTGGTCGACGGCCCTGACATTCCTCTGCCATCATTGTCATCAGCATAGCTAATTGTCAACGCAACGCCCTTCTTCCTCTGCAACAGCCGCTTGGTATCCAGAAGATCTCTGTTGCCCCATTCCCCTCTTCTGCCGCATATGGTCAGGCTCATTGTCTCTCTATGAGCGATTGCATCCAGCAAACCAGTGACTACCTCCCTACCATCAGAGCCACATGTGTAGATGCTTGGTCATCCTTTTGGTTCAGATGGTGAGGATTTCAAGTGTGATAGAAGGTAATGGAGAGATGGAGAGGCGTGAGAATCAGTGAAGTATCAGTGAAAAGCATACCGTATTCTCCCAGACATAACACCCGGGGGTATTATGATAACCACAGGGAAAAAAAGGGGGGGGGGTCCTCTCAACGGAAAATCCTATATAATACCCGGATGGTTATATATGGCATAATTTGGTGTAAGGGTATATTTTGAATTAGACAATTTGGGTGTTTCAATGGCCGTTTTAACATCACCGTTTGAGGCGAGAATGTGAGTTTCGCCTCTCGGGCCACTTGCAGCAGAAGATCCGCCAACGTGGCGACAGCGAGATTGTGGGAGGGGGGAAATGTCGGCAGATTCTAAATGAAAGTACACGCGAAATTTCATCTAGGGAGCGATTCTCGCGACATCCTCCCGTAAGGAATCTGACTCGATAACAGCTATAATAAGAATCTCTAAGAAAAGGGTCTTATATAAAATCACCCAAAAAGCGGGGGTATAGTACAAACGGGGTCGGCTATAACACCCACCCCGCACAAGCTACCCGGGGGTGTACAATTCGGGGGGGGGGGGGGGGGGGGGGGTGTTTTTTCCGGGAGAATACGATAGATGAAAATTGAAAGTTAAGAAGGAAGTGAAAATAAAATATCTCTGTGTGGAAAGCGAGGACAATAGGTGCAAGAGATTCAGTTATTGCTGTCAAATATTCTATTCCTGGAAAACAGTGCAACACAATGTTCAGCATGTCGAAAAGGGTTTCACTATGGACCCTATCCCCGTATAGGCAATCTCATCTCAGGTTGAGTGCTTCTAGAAGCAGTTGGGGTTGGAGGGCGGCTTATACATGAAAAGGATGCTAACCATGCCAATACCAACGGAGTCCTGGAGGAGGAGGTGTATATAGGGGAACACGATTGCACAGGTGGAGTGAATTTCTAGTACAACGTGCTCTAGGGGCTCAAGCAAGCATCTTGTGCATGTACTGGGCCATATGATAACCTCTTGTTGGATCTCTCTTGCTCGTCATGTGTGATTCAGGTCAAGCAATTATTTCTCAAAATAGTTTCCAAACAAAGTTTTTGGATGATGCCTCTATATACCTTGTGTCGGTAGATATTCTGTTCAAGTATGGGGTGCCTAGAAACTGGAAACAGGAATGCATTTCCGAAGGACACAACAATTCTTACAAAGGATCCGCTTTGTAAAGCAATGTTCTTATATACATGGTTAAGAACACCCGGAAAGGTGTATGGAGAGAAATAGGTGGATGGAGTATGCCCATGTCAAGGTTCGCATTTCCCGGACTTGATCTTCTCTTGGTCCGGAATGCACACTCTGGTGGCTTTGACAAGCTTATCGATGCAATCATGCCGTTGGTCTTCCTGTAGCACCCTTTGATTCCACGGAAGTACTTGACCTGTAGGCCAGTTCAGCGGTCGCCAGTCCCAACCACGTACGCGCGAGTCTTGGGGCACACTCCTTGCGTGAAGCTGAACGAGCTGCCTATGCACGCCTGCACTTGCCGTGCAGTCAAGTTTGCGTAGGAAGGAGGGGGAGAAGGGGGAAAAGCAAGGGGGAAAAGAAGCAAGGCACAATGGTGGTTAGATAGGTCCTTGAGTAGGTAGATAAGCAGACAGGAAGGATGGTGGGTAGATTGGTAAATAGGAAGGATGGTAGGTAGACAGGTAGGTAGCTAGATAGGTAGGTGGGCAGGTAGGTAGTTAAGTGGAGTGGAGACGAGAACCAAGCAACAGCCAGGCAAGGCAACTAATGGATGCCGTTGCGCTACACTAGGTGGAAATCGAAGCGCATAGCTAGGGTCTGGTTAAACTGTCGAAAATCAAGACAGGAGGATAGGGGCAGGGAGGAGGGAGAAAAGGGAGCAGGGTTAAAATGGGGGAAGGGGGAGAGCACGGAAGGAGGAAGAGGGTGGGAAAGGGGACGGTTGGGCTATGAGAGAAACAGGGTGGTGTGGAGGAAGGGTGCAAGGAGAGCAGAGGCAGACCTCGAAGCCTGTGATGCTGCCGACGTCAGTCTTGGGCACGAGGCGGCTGCACTTGATGCCGGGGTTGAGGCGGAAGAACTCGAGAGGGGAGAGCGGCGGGGAGGGCACGGAGCGGATTTGGTCGCACGTCTCCCCAGCCTGCACCAGATATAACTGCGAGCACACCGGGATGAGCAGCACCGCTGCACTCTCCGCCCGCCGCTCCACACACACCGCCTGGCTGCCCACCAGCTCCCCGCTGCCGGAGCAGTCCAGCCCGGGGTTGAGCACCTGGAAGGCTGCTGCACAGGTGAGAACTTGAAAAGGACAGCCCCTGGAGAGAGAGAAGTAGGCTGCTAGTGACTCACACGTGTCGCCCTGGTGGGAGGATGGTGGACGGGAGGACGAGTGGATGGAGCATGGAGGGAGAAGAGCAAAACACGGGTGAGGGGAAGAGAAGAACATGAGATGGGCGTGAGGGCTGGCCCTGGGAGTCTGTTGGAGAAGGTGCATGTATGAATGAGGGGGTCATTGAAAAGAAGAGGAGGGTATGGCAGCTCTCTGCTGTATGAGGGGGTCATTGAAAAGGAGAGGAGGGTCTGGCAGCTCTCCGCTGTTGCTGGCGCCACCAAAGCAGTTCAGTCCAGAGTTGAGCGCCTGGAAGGCTGGTGCAGAGGGCTCGGTGGGAGTAGTAGGACAGCTGGCGGTGAGGTGAGGGAGAAGTAGGTGGCTAGAGACTCGCAGGGATGGGAGAGGGGGGGGGAGAGAAGAAGAGGTGGGGAGAATGGGGGAGGAGAGCAGTGGATAGGAAGCTGGGACGAAAGATCAGGAGAAAAGGAGACAAGGGGAAGGGAACACGTGGAAAGGCAGTCCAGGGTTGTAATCTGTCTCAACGGAAGGGCTAGGGGTTCTATTTTTGGCAGTTTCAGCTGGTAGAAAGAGAAGTACGCTGCCAGAGCGACTTATATGTGTTGCCCGGTGGGAGGGCGCTGAGAAGGTAGCAAGAAGGGTGGGATGGGAACAGGACAAGGAGAAGGAGCGCACATGTGAGGGTTGGGCGTAGATAGAGAGAACGATTGAAGATCGTTCAGAAGAATGAGGAGGGGCACAGATTTAAATGAGGAAAAGAGGTTTTCAGACACGAAAGGCTGCAGGCTACAGGCAGCAGTAGTGGGAGGAAGGCAAAAGAAGGGAGGGAGGGAGGGAAAGGGGGAGCGGAGGCGATTTGAGGGAGGGAAAGGAGAGTGGGGGTAGGCCAACCTGTGACGTGGTGTAGTAGACGGAGCAGGGCGTGAGGCTTTCTGGCTCGACGACATTCACCACCATGCCGACAACGAGAGGAGCACTGCAGCTCAGACCCTGGAGGGAAAGGGGGAAAAGAGTGGGGAGTAGAGGGCGAAGGAGATGGAGGATGCGAGACATGGTTGGTAAGTGAGGATGAGATGTGCAGAGTGTGGCCAGATTTTTGTGGGTGTGTAAAGAGGAGGCTAAAATAGCAGCTGGAAAGCAAATCCTCACCAGGGCTGGGGTGGAATGAGGCTCACAGGGTTCTGGGCTTGCAGGTGGGCTCACAGGGTTCTGTTGTTGCAGGTGGGCAAGAGTGAGGCCGTAGACGGGGTGGATGTCGGCACACATGACACCCCACGACACCACCGTGTATGTGCTGCTGGAGTCGCCTGTGCAGTGCGGTGCAGAGTGGTGCAAATGCAATGATGTGGATGCAATGATGCGAAGGAAGGGGTGCGGTTATTGGTTATGAGAGGTTACACATGTGATTGGGGAGGGATGGTTGTGAGAAATTGAGGTAGACTCCCTACATAGGTAACGGCTCAAGGCTGCGAAAGACCGCAGCTGAACTTCTTCAACCTTACAGAGGTTGAGAGCTGAGTGGCGGACAAGCCGGGCAAAAAAATTGAGGTGTTGTAATACTTTTACAGAACATAAATATGCTAGAATAGGTGTAGGATTGTTGAATATACCTTCAACCACAAGTTGTGGTTGAAGCTTGGTTCGGTTCCCAACAATGATTGGACCTCGAATAATGTTGGTTCAAATCCACCCAACAACGAATGGAACCCCAATAATGTTGGTCCAACCAAAACAACATTAAGGAGGGGAATACGGAGCGTAGGAGAGGAAGGCTACCTAAAGCATTGGGGGAGTCTACCTGGACCACAGGAGAAGGTGCCATCAACGGTGGTGCCCTGCCTGAACCCCGGAGGGCACACACATGAGCAAGACCCCTTGCCATCATTCACACACGTGCCCACCGCACACGGATTGTGCACGGCCGCTCCGCATGCATCCTCTGGGAAATAGGATAAGAGATGAAAGGCACAGCCCATAGGAGCATGCTTTGAGGCGACTTAGAGAAATGTGCTGTCATGGTGATAACACCATTGATGTGAGCATCGTCTTGGTTATCATGACTAGTGCACTGACGTTTAAACACCCTTAAAGTGACAAGAGAGAGCTACATTGCACCTTATTTGTTGGACTTTACTTTTCAGGTTACAACTTTCTAGTGAGTTTTGTTTTCGGTTGGTAAGTGTAGACTTTCCATCCCCAACATAGCCAAAGTTACCCAAACCTATCCATTCAAAATCTCCTTGATATGGATGGATCCTCCAAGGATTCCCTCCTGACTAGCCTAGCTCACGTGTGCAACATATGGCTTCACATCCTAGCTTACCAAGGTCGGCTAGCCTTGCCCTCAACTTTAGGTGCTGCAGTTGGCCTCAAGAGTCCGAACATACATATATGGCCTCACCACTTCCCTAAAACTCATCCTCGAACAGGGACAATGCTCTGTGTCTCTAAGACTTGTATCATCTTCCTACAAAGGACATTTTCTTTGCGGAGATAACTAATACAGCGGGAGCTAGACTACGGGCTAGGCACCGGTGCTCGTGTGATCTCTGCGTTCATTGGTCCTTTGTCGTTTTCCTAGTGCGCACACAACTTGCTAGTTCACAGGGAGAATTGGCAAGAGTTTCACTAGAGAAAGTTGACAACAATGGTACAATGAAGTTGGCAATGCAAGACTACATCAGAGCTAGCATTCAGGTCGGTCGACTGCCAGTGCAGCATGGTCGACCGCGTTCTAGCACGACTTGGTCGACCGCGCTCCAGCACTGCAAAGTCGACGGCGGGCCAACTTCGGAGGTTGACGGCGTGCCAGCGCTGCTCATGCAGAACAGCAGCGCACCCGCTTCGCAGGTGCTCGCAGATGATTGGCGGGCTGAGCCTCGTCACCTGCACAACGCACACACCAAGTCATCCTCGTGCTGACGACTCCACTTGATCCGCCATGTCAACCTCGGGATACCACCCCTTAGGTCGGGCTCGCCAACTTTGCCTGGGCGACCGTCGCACTCCTCCGCAGAAGTTTGTCACCCAGGTAACCTGGTCGACTTGGCAACCACGCCAACCAGCTGCTCCCGTACATGCCCGTCGACCAGCTGCTCCCGTACATGCCCGTCGACCTCCCAAGTCGCCGGCCACCTCCAAGTCGACCTAACCAGGTCGACCACGCACTTGGTCGACCAGCTCCAGGTTGACGTCACGTCCGGCCGGACAGCTCAACGTCGACCAGCATTCGTGGTCGACCAGCTTCATGTCGACCAGCGCAGTTGTCGGCCGACCACCCAAGTCGGCTACCCGAAGTCGGCGTCATGAAGTTGATGCCCCACTACTCGACGCCAAACTTCTCGGCGTCCTGAGTCGAGGTCGACGTCGGCCCCTCCGCCGTCGACCACCAGGTCAGGTCGACCACCAGCAGGTCGACCAGCAGGCCTGGTCGACCAACCACCAGGTCGACCAGCAGTCCGTCAGCCGACCACCGAAGTCGGCTTCCCCAAGTTGACGTCACCAAGTTGACGTCCTCCGCAGGTCAACTTCCCAGGTCGACCTCCCTGAAGTCGGCTTCATACTAAAGTCGACCCCGTGCAGGTCGACCTCCTTGTCAACCAGCTTGTCCACTGCTGCAGGTCGGCTGCTCCCCTCACATCCGACCACAAACTCGGCTCCGCCCAAGCGACGACGGGGCCAACACACAACTCCCGTTAACACTCCCCTGCCGCGTTCACGCTTGGGCCCCCAGCCCACACGGCAGTACTCCTCAGAGAATAGCTCGTCGACGTGCACCCAACTCACGGCACGTCGTCCACCGCACCAGCCATGCAAGAGGGCATGGCACCTACTGCTGCACGTCGTCAACTTCGTCGCCCACGTCGGCCAAGCGCACCGGGCCGATGGCGACGGAGCACCGGTTGAAGGCCGGATAGTGCAGCGCCTTCGTTAGGAAGTCGGCCGGCTGCTCAGCGGTCGGGATGTACCTCAGCGAGAACTTCCCGCGCTTCATCATGTGCTGCAGCCAGGCTTGTTGTCGCTCCATGTGCTTGAGGTTGCCCGTCAACACCATGCCCTCGGCGACTGTGATGGCCGACTTGTTGTCCACCCGAAGGACAGTCGGCTTCCCAACATCCAGCTGCTGGAACTCTGCGAGGAGGAAGCGAAGGCGGCGTCCCTCCTTGCCGGTTTCGGTGGCCGCCACGTACTCCGACTCGGTCGATGACAACGTCGCGCACTTGATGCGCTGCCTCGACCAGGAGACCGCGGCCCCTCCGTAGACGAACACGTAGCCGCCCGTGCTCGTCCTGTTTTGCTTGTCACCGGCGTTGTTGGCGTCCATGTAGCCGACTAGCTCCAGTGACTCTGGTCCACCGCCGAACTATAGGGCGGTGTCACGCGTGTTGGCGAGGTAGGAGAGGCAGCGGTCGACCTCGCGCCAGTGCTGGTCGCTCCTCACCGTGAGGCCGCTCCCCAGCTTGCTGCAGGCGAAGGCGATGTCCGGCCTCGTTGTCGCCGCCGCAAACTGCAGCGAGCCGACCTTCTGCCGGTACTCCTCCTCCTGGCGCTCCTGTGCCTCCTCCTCGTCGAAGGTGAGCTCGGCGTAGGCGTTGACCGAGACCGGCGTCTTCGGGGTGCACCCGGTCTGCTCTGCGTTGATGAAGCACCTACGCAGCTTGTCGGCGTAGCCCTGCTGGTGTAGCCACAGCTTCCCCGCCGACCTGTCGCGGACGATCTCCAGCCCAAGGTACTTCTGCACCGGCGAGATCTCACGCAGCTTGAAGGCGGACTCCAGCAGCTCCTTCAGCATCTCGGTGCTGCTGGTGGCGGCTAGCAGGTCGTCGACGTAGACCAGCACCCAGCAGGCCACTCCGTCCTTGTCGACCTTGAAGTAGAGAGCCTCGTCGACATGGCTCTTCTTCCACCCAGCGTCGACCAGCACATCGTTGAGCGCCAAGTACCACAGCAGCGGCGACTGCTTCAGCCTGTACAGGCTCTTCAGCAGCTTGCACACCCGGCCGGTTCCGTCGTTGAAGTAGTCTGCCTGGGACATGTAGAGCACCCGGTCGAGCTTGCTCTGCAGGAAGGCGTTCTGCATGTCGAGCTGCATCAGGTTGAGGTTGAGGACGGTGACGATGCTGAGGAAGATCCTTAGGGTGACGTAGCTGCCCATCGGCACGAACGTCTCGTCGTAGCCGGCGCCATACACCTGGGTGAAGCCCTTCACGACCAGCCTCGCCTTCTTGCGCTCGATGGTGTCGTCGACGTGGTACTTTGTCGTCAACACCCACCGGTTTTTCATGACGTTCACCCCTGGCGGGCTTTCGACTAGCTCCCAAGTTCCCATGTTGATGAGGCTGCAGATCGCCTCCTCCATGGCGGCCTTCACCGCCGGGCCCTTCCAGCTCGCCAACGCCTCCTTCACCGTCATCGTCGAGATGTCCCAACGGTGTTCGGGGTCGGCATGTATGTTGGGGTCAAGCTCCAAAAACTTCTCATCCTCCTCGGCGTCGTTGTCATCCTCCACGTCGTACCCCGTGGTGAAGGTAGCGGGGACGAAGAAGTCCGGCGGCCGCCGAAGTCTCTCCGACTTTCGGGGTTCAGGCCGAACTTCCACCATGTCGCCGTCGGTGGACTTCTCCCCTTCGTCACCAACTTTGCTGCCCTCGTTGTCGTGCTGCACGTCGGTCGACTTCCTGGTCGACCTCTCCTCTGTGGTCAGCTCCCATGCCGGCTGCCCGGTTGCCGACTGCTTTGTGGTCGGCTTCATTGCTGCCTGCTCTTCTGTCGGCTGCTTCTCCTCACCTGCTCCTCCCTGTCGACATCGGCTTCAATCCCATGTCGACTTGCCGCTCATCACGTCGGCCACCGACGATGCCCTTGGCCGGCGCCGAAGGCAACGTCCCACTACTCCCCTCATCGCCTGAGGCCGACATAGGAGTCAGCCCGTGCAGGTCGGCCACGAGGGGAGGGTCAGGGGACGGAGGACAAGGGGAAGGAGGGTAGACGACCTCGGTGTCCTCAGTAGCAAGCTCACCAACCTCGGCGAGCACAGGCAGCGTCGCCGTCGAGGTGTTGGTCGGCGGGTTAGTAGGCGCCCGACCGGACACCGGCCCGTGCTCCGACTTCCACACCTCCAGCGACATATCCTCGTAGAACACCACATCCAACGTGGCGTCAATGTCGAGGAGCTCCCAGCCCTTGCTCTCCCCCGACACGCCAAGGTGAAGGCCCCCCCGACACGCCAAGGTGAAGGCTTTAGCTTCCCACCACGCTGCTGCTCGAGGACAAGGAACTGAGCCATGCAGCCCCACACCCGCGCCATCGACAAGTCGGACTTCTGCCCGGTCAGCAGCTGGTACGGCGTCGTCCCCGGTGGCACCGTGGACCGCTCAAGGCAGTTGCAGACCCAGGCGGCCTGCCATAGAGCGAGGTGCCACTAGTGGTGCTGCACGCCCATATGCAGCAACATCGTCCGCACCGACTCCACCACCGTTCACATCTCCCGCTCCGCCATGCCGTTCTGCTGCGGGGTGTACGGGCAGGTAAGGTCGTGGACGATCCCCTTGCCATCCACGAAGTCGATGAACTTTCTTCCCGAGGAACTCCCCTCCTCGGTTGGAGCGAAGCATCAGCACGGACTTCTTCGTCTGCCTCTCCACCAACACCAGCCACTTTTGGAACTCCAGCAGCACATCCGACTTTCTTGGCGATCGGCCTCACCCACACGAAGCGGGTCTTGCAGTCCTTCAGCAGCAGGAAGTACAAGCTGCCGTCCTTGGCAGCCACACGGAACGGCCCGCTCAGATCGATGTGCACGACGGCCAGCACGTCGTTGGCGTCGGAGCCTTGGTCGGGGAAGGTGTGCCTCGCCAGCTTCTCGCCGATGCACGAGACATACGGTGAGTCGGCGCCCGTCGCCAACTTGAGGTCCAGCCCGATGGCAAGCTCGTTCTTCGCCGAGCTCCTGATGGTGTCCATGCCGACGTGCGCAAGCCTCGCATGCATCCTGTCCGACGTCGACTTCGTCTTAGAGACGATCGCTCGCAGGGCCATAACCTCCGGCGTGGGCGACGTCGGCTTCATTGAGCAGGGACGCAGGTCGGTGCAGAGAACTCGCCCGGAGTACGTCGCCCGACCAAGCACCTCTTCGGCTGCTGAGACGAGCATCATTCCGTCTCCGTCCTCCCGCAGCTTCACACCGTGCTCTTTCAGTTGGCCGGACGACACCAGGTTAGCCCGCACACCCGGGACGTACACCACGTCGGGGATGAGCACCTGCTTCCCGGCCTCGCCTTGCAGGGCGACGGTGCCTCGGCCCTGGACATCTTGCAGCGCCCCATTGAAGCCCCGCACGTGCTTGATGGGGCAGCTTGGCTGCAGGTCGATGAAGACTTCCTTCGTCTCCATCAGGTGATGGGAGCAGCCGCTGTCGAGCAGGACCACCGCCAGGTTCGCTTGCACAGCTGCTGCCACCACCTGGAAGTCCTCTCCGGCCTCCGGCGCCAGCGAGACGGTCGACTCCACGACGCCAACCAGCAAGCACGAAGCCGCCTTGTCGTCCCGCGCCTTGCCGCCAGCAGAGGAGTCGGCGTCCTTCGCCGAGGTCGACGTCTTGGTCGGCTGCTTCTCCTTGCGCGGCTGGTTTCCTCCTCGACGAGGACGACGACTGCTAGACCTCCCGCGGCCTTCCTTGGTGTCGTCGTCCTCAGAGTCACTCCGGTCGGGGCACTCGTAGGAGAGGTGGTCGGGGTTGTGGCAGATCCAACACTCTCGCCGTCGACTTCCTCCTCTTCGACCGCTTTCCTTGGTCGACTTCTTCTTGTCGATCTTCTTGGCCGACTTCCAGCCACTGCTACCACCACCGCCAGACTGTCCGCGCTGCCCCGGCCGGCCTCCTTGTTTCGCCGGGGCGACGAAGTTGGCCTGCACCAAGAGCTCCTGTGACCTCTCTGCCTCCTGCATCGCCTCGTCCTGCAGGATGTACGAGGTCAAGTTGTCCTCGTTGAGTGTTGCCTTCGTGCTCGGCGCCATGGACAGCCGCTTCAGCAGGTTGTAGCTGCTCGAGAGTCCCTGCATGACGTGGGTGACGTACGACGCCGTCGAGTACTGCGCGCCGGCCATCCTGATGGTGGCGAGAATTCGCCGGGCCCGGTTGCAGTAGTCGGTCGCCGTCTCCTTGTCGCCCATACGCAGGTGCGTCAGCTGTCCCTCCAGCTGGGCGATGAACAGGTCGTCGGTGACTTGGTAGGTCGACTCAATGAAGTGTCACGCCTGGTGGCCGGCGTCGAGGTACTCCCGACAGCACTTCAAGGCGATCTGCACGGCCGGCGGGCAGCATCGCGAGATGACCATGAAGGTCAACAGCTCTACTGCTTGGAACTCCGCACGTAAGTTGGGGTCGTCTGGCGTCGCCACAGTATCTCGAGCAAAGTTGATCAGCCCAGCCATCTCCAGCTGGGGCTCAATGGCTTCCTTCCAGGTGGACCAACGAGCGGCGAGGTGACCAAGATCCTGTCCGGTGCAAACTTGAAGTAGCCGTAGCTTGGTGCTATCCCACCTGCCGTCACCTGGGTCGCCGACATCGGCGAAAAACCACTTCGTCGTCCTCCGACGTCGCCCTGCGAGGAGCCTGCAGCCGCCAACGACTGCACCCCTTGCGCCTGAACGCCGACGACTTCATCGGCGGGAATCACACCACGCTGCCTCAACGTGCCTCCCGCACTGCTGCTGACTTGGCCACCTCCGGCGTTGATGCCCACGTCGATGCCGCCTTCGTTGGTCACCGGTCGAGGAGAAGTTGGTCGGGAAGAGGGATGCTCCGTCGCCCACATGGAGCGGAGTCCAGCCTCGACGACCGCCTAGGGTATCGCCCCATACTCCTGGGCCTCATGGCGTCTCCTTGCATCCTCCAGCCATCCCTCCAGGGTGCCCATCACCTTGGTGTCACCTACGCGTACGCTAGGGACCTGTATGGCTGCCGGCCTACGAGCAACTTAGGTAAGTGACCTCTACGTCGACCTGATTGAAAGGTAAGTCGTATGCCGTCCACGCTCACCGCACCATGCAGAGATAACTAATACAACGGGAGCTAGACTACGGGCTAGGCACGGGTGCTCGTGTGATCTCTGCGATCGTTGGTCCTTAGTCGTTTTCCTAGTGCGCACACAGCTTGGTAGTTCACAGGGAGAATTGGCAAGAGTTTCACTATAGAAAGTTGACAACAATGGTACAATGAAGTTGGCAATGCAAGACTACATCAGAGCTAGCATTCAGGTCGGTCGACTGCCAGTGCAGCATGGTCGACCGCGTTCTAGCACGACTTGGTCGACCGCGCTCTAGCACTCCAAAGTCGACGGCGGGCCAACTTCGGAGGTTGACGGCGTGCGAGCGCTGCTCATGCAGAACAGTAGCGCACCCGCTTCGCAGGTGCTCGCAGATGATTGGCGGGCTGAGCCTCGTCACCTGCACAATGCACACACCAAGTCATCCTCGTGTTGACGACTCCACCTGATCCGCCATGTCAACCTCGGGATACCACCCCCGAGGCCGGGCTCGCCAACTTCGCCTGGGCGACCGTCGCACTCCTCCGCCGAAGTTCGTCACCCAGGTAACCTGGTCGACTTGGCAACCACGTCGACCAGCTACTCCCGTACATGCCCGTCGACCTCCCAAGTCGACGGCCACCTCCAAGTCGACCTCACCAGGTTGACCACGCACCTGGTCGACCAGCTCCAGGTCGACGTCACTTCCGGTCGGACGGCTCCACGTCAACCAGCATTCGTGGTCGACCAGCTTCATGTCAACCAGCGCAGTTGTCGGCCGACCACCCAAGTCGGCTACCCGAAGTCGGCGTCATGAAGTTGACGCCCCGCTATTGGACGCCAAACTGCTCGGCGTCCTGAGTCAAGGTCGACGTCTGCCCCTCCGCCGTCGACCACCAGGTCAGGTCGACCACCAGCAGGTCAACCAGCAGGCCTGGTCGACCAACCACCAGGTCGACCAGCAGTCCGTCAGCCGACCACCGAAGTCGGCTTCCCCAAGTTGACGTCACCAAGTTGACGTCCTCCGCAGGTCGACTTCCCAGGTCGACCTCCCTGAAGTCGGCTTCATACTGAAGTCGACCCCGTGCAGTGGTCCCCGTGCAGGTTGACCTCCTCGTCAACCAGCTCGTCCACTGCTGCAGGTCGGCTGCTCTCCTCACATCCGACCACGAACTCGGCTCCGCCCAAGCGAGGACGGGGCCAACACACAACTCCCGTTGACATTCTTCTTCCTTTATGCATTCAATTTCACCGATTCTACTTAAGGCCTTGTACACTCCTTTCTAGTTAATGGATTGTACTCTTTTTTCAACAAGCACTCATTGGAAGCAAGGGGGGGAGCACTCACTGTAAGCACAGGTGCGCGAGTGGTCTGGTTGAAGCGCCTCGACGAATCGCGGGTCGTTGCAGTCGCAGTGGTTGCTGGCCCCATCAGGCGTGGGCGTGCACGTGAAGTTGCCACAGGGGTTGAAGAGCGGCCCAAACACCCCACTGGTGGTGCCGTTGACGTTGCAGGGGTCCTTGGCAGCGCGCACTACCGGGTAGATCCCAGGCAGCGTGTTGATCCCACACCCGCCGTCGCCCCCCTGGATGTCCATCCGCATGTGCCCGCCATCGCCCCACTCCGGGCCCCATAAGTTGCGGATGATCCAGAAGGGCGGCGCCATGTGCGGGAAGGTGGGTTCTGAGCCGGTGAGGCGATAGCCCACCAGCAGCACCACGTGGTTCAGGTTGTACGTGAAGCACTCTGGGTCCGCGTACTTGGATAGCTGGATGAGATTTGGGGGCGCATGGGTATGGAATGATTTGGCTGGATATTCTCACAGAGAGCACTACGTTGTTTTAAGCGTGGGAGAAGCACATGTGATATGGGTGTGCAAGTATGCGTGTGCATATGTGTGTGTGTGCGCGCGCGCGCGTCCACATAGGTCCATCTCTGTGTGTGTATGTGCACCCGTGAATGAGTGAGTGAGTGGGACTCACCCCGTCGTGGTTAAGGAAGGAGGGGGCGGTGGCCTGCAGATGCACCACCACGGGCTGTCTCTGCACGGCCAGCAGCCAGCCCAAACCAGCCGTGGAACGCCGTGCGCTCAAACCCGTCCACTCTGAATGGGCCACCCAACATCTTGTCCTGCCATGCCATGGGGTAAGGGAGGGGGTGAGGGGTAAGGGAGGAGGGGCAGGGCAGCAGGCATGTGGAAGGTGGGGTATACGGGAGGACATGGAAAGGGGAGGACATGGAACGGGGAGGACATGGAAACTTGAGCACTGCCATTCCATGCTCTGTGGTCCGTAATGTGCTGCCCATGATGTGGGCAACGAACCAGTTGTACCAATCCCTTTGTGGTAGGCTAGCCGTTTCTTCAGAATCCTCAAGTGGCAAATCCAAGTGCAATTGCATGCAAGCAAAAGACAATTTTGGTAGTAGTATAAGAGGATTAATTGGTAAGGAAAGCAACTCACTGATCCGGGGGCCCGGCCTTTGCCACACGAGATCCCAAGCGCTTGCAAGAGCAGAGAAAAGGCGGGCATGCCACAGAGCGGGCTCTTGCTACTGCTCTTCCTACCCCCTCTCCCTCTCACCGCGACCCCGGTCGCAAAATTCTCCGTAAGCCCGAGTTTTTTCTTGTCATTGAGAGTGGCGAGGTACTGGAAGGCCTGGGAAGGCGAGTTGCCCTGCGAGCATGAGGCGCCGAGGGCATCGCGTAGCTGGGAGATGGAGAGGAGCGGCACGGCAAAGAGGTTGAAGAGAATGTTGTAGGCCATTTCTATGCTGCCCACCACCGCGTACGCCCAGCAGTCGCCTGAGAAGGACGAGGAAGGTAGTGGAAAGAGGGGAGAGGTGAAGAGGTGAGAGATTGATACGATGGGATTCCACGCTGCCCAGTAGAGAGATGGAGAGATGGGAAAGAGAGAGGGGGCAGGGAGTAGATGGAGGCGAAACGGAGAAACATAAGGGGAAAACGGGTAGGGTAGGAGAGGACAAGCCAAAATAGCCCTTTTCTCACCACAAACATTCATATAATGCCCACCCTTTTATGCCCTCACCTTTTGCTCCCCATGTGCAGAAATCTTATCCCATTCCATTCCAGCCCATCACGTCCCTTCACATCCCATCACAGCACATTCCGGCCCTCAACGATCCCCTCACCTCCCTTCCCTGTCCCCATGCCCTCACCGCAGGCGCCCTGGTTCTGGATGGGCCACAAAAGCCCCTGGTCAGCCCAGGAGAATGCCTGGCTCACAACCCACACCTCCTCCTCCTTACCCCCTCCGCCTCCGCCGCTTCCCCCTCCTCCTCCTGGCTGCAGTGCCTGCACGCCCACACTGGCGTAGCGGAAAAAAGGATTCGCCCCCACTGGTGACAGCGATGCCTCACTGAACCTGAACCGAAATTGCTGGCCTGGGATACGGTAGGGTGGAGTAGGATGGGGCAGGGTGGGGTAGGGTGGGGTAGGTTATGGCAGGGTATGCAGGGGTAGCGTGGGCATGGGTATGATAGAATGTGTGGGGAGAGTGAAAGAATGCCGATGGGTCAAGTCAAGAAGCAAGTGAGCGCAATGGGAATCAGAGGAAGTGCTGAAGGAACAAGAAACAATCAAGGGCTGAAGAGGGATGGACTTGGTGAGAGCTTGAAGAGGGACCTTGGGCGAAGATTTGGAAAAGGATTGATAGAACTGGAAGATAGAGAACCAAGAAATCGAAGAGAAGGGTTGTGTATTTGATTTAAGCCAGTCATACCTGTAAGAGTAGTTGGTTCCGGGAGGCCTGAAAAAACACATATAAACGAACGGAGGGAGAGGATACGGAGAAGGGTATGGTAAGCGAGGGAGGTTGAATGGGCCATTTCGGCCATTCCTCGTTTGAGAGAATAATCAGTAGAGTGGGACAACACAACGAGAGGGACAGTGGCAGCAGTCAACAACAATGCTGGATGAGTAAGCTCCAGCGGAGGGCTCAATAGGCACCAGCAGAGGGAGCGCACTGCAGCAGGGGCACGCACGGAGGAGCAATGAGTGGCATGGAGCAGCAGCACGGACCTGTGGTGATGTTCCAGGTGAGGATGGAGTGTTGCTGTGGGGAGTCAGAAGAGGAAGCAATGAAGCCCATGAGGAACGACGCCTCGGCTACACTGGGCTACAGGAACTCGCACAGCGACACCTGCATTGCCACCACTGCCTTGCCCGGCCGGGGGGACGCCTTGGCCGACAGAAACACCTGCAGCCACCCCGTGCCGCTACTGCTAGTGTTGCTGTCATAACCATTATTGGCAGCAGCAGTAGCACTAGAAGAGGACGGAGAGGGGTCGAAGACAATCCAGGCATGTTTTGGGTTGCCGTCGTTGAGAGTGAAGGGCGCTTTGGCAGTTGCGATGGAAGAGGTGTTGCCCCTCACACTGAATCCCACGTGGTTGTTGTCTGGGTCGTTGGCATCGGTGCTCTTAGAAGTGTCAAACTCCACGGCTATGCTGCGCTCATCCATGCTAGCATACCCCAAGCTGTTGCCGCCACCACTGCCGTAGCGGCTGCCACTGCTACCGCCAGTAGCAGAGCCATTGGCGGAAATCACAAACGCAAACCCATCCCCCGCATCTCCCGCAGCTGTGGCTGCTGCCCTGCTGGTGGTGGCTGGTTTGAGAATGGAGAAGGAGAAATAAACGGTGAAGGCCAATGGGCGGCCGTAGGCACCGGCCTTGAGGGCGAAGGAGAAGAGTGGGACGGGGGGTTTGTAAAACGCTGCACCCCACGTGTTGGGCTGTGAGGCTGTGAGTATGATGTGACCTGTGCTTGCAACTGACGCCCTTCCCTTCACTTCTGTCTGCGCTGCTGTTGGCTGCACAGTTACTGGGCCACCCCCTTGGCCTGGTGTTGGAAGTGGGGGCAAGGACATGCAGGAAGGAGAGGAGAGGGGAAGGCACATGCAGGCAGGGAAAGGGCGGAAGGGCATGAAGCAGAAAATTCCGTGGTTAAAATGCAGGGCTTTGAGAGCTCTGTGACACATCCTACTATTGTGGGCTGCAATGTTACTGGGAAACCCTTCTGACGGGTGGTGTTGGAAGGGAGTTAAGAATGGGCAGCCAATGAATCACTCCAAATATTTTGAACCTCCCTCATACAAACATGTTTCTGTGATAATTTCTACTTAAGCACTTATGCATTTTCTTGTACAATCCAAATGCTTTCCTCAGTCATTTGAGGTGACCACTACTGGAACGCAAAACAAAAAACCAATATTCTTGCTGAAGCAAAAAAATTGCCACCCACGCTTTCCCCCACTCCCTTTTAATTTATTCAACCCGCACTCACTTCCTTCAGGGACGCAGCTTCCAGGCAGCTCCCCATTGACAAAGCCAGAATCGCAGTCACACGTAGGCACTCTGCTGGGCCCAGCCGCATAGCACGAGCCATGCCCGCCGCATGGGGGAACAGCAGCACTCACGCCACAAAACACACCACAGAGCTCCTCCGGCCGCTGCACCGCTGCATCCGGAGCAGAGGGCGTGGCAGGCGTGGGGCAGGAGTAGCCTTCACCAGGGGTTTGGAGGCAGTTGAAGCGGAAGGAGATGGCGCCTTGGGAGCAGTTGGGTGGGGAGGAGAAGCCTGAGGAGAGGTAGTTGAGGTCGACATCGTAGACGGTGAGGTTTGGTGGGATAGGTTGCAGAACGGGGCCTGTCAGCTGGTTGTTGCGCAGGTTGCTGGGAGGGGGGGGAGGAGGGGAAAAAAGGAAAGGGAGTGGGGAGGGAGGGGGGAGAGGAAGGGCGCAGGGAAGGTGAAGGACGAGGAGAAACGTATGAGAGGCCCCGAAGATGTATTGGGGAGTCGAGTCGATTGGTACGTTGGATGCAAGGAAGAGGACGGGGATGCAATGATGGAGGAATGAAAAGGGGAGGTAAATCTGTTGGAGAGAAATAGAGAACAGAGGAAGGCAGGGCCTAAAGATGTTAGCAAGTTTTGGAATAAAAGGGAATGTGAGGCTCCAAGAGGTTCTTGTCTGCTACAAATTCACTCCATTGAGGCACAGCATATTACATTTGCAAGAAGAAACAAATGGACTGGAATTTGAAGTCGGGCAGAGAAAATTCAGGGAGCCCTAAAGTGCTCTTTAGCAGGATTAAGTTGAGATGTGCCCCATCAAGTTGATGGTACCAACCAGCCACAAGCCTCTTTCATTCTCAGAAAGTTAGTCCAAGAGGTTCGCACGATAGCAAAGGACTCAAAGGACTTGCAAGGTTGGAGCAGGCGGAGTGGTGGGGGCTTGTAGATAGGGACGCACTTGGGAAGTATGGCGGACAAGCACTTGGGAAGTATGGCGGACAAGACAAGGCTAGGTGCACTGATAGCGGATGGGTCCAGCCTTGGCTTGCGCTGTGAGAATGGCGCAAGAGAATTTCTTGTAGTAAGCCTTGGGGTGCACCCGAATTTTGAAAGTAAGCTGTTATGAGTGGGAAATGCTTTCTTCATGTGCTACAAACCTTGTTCCTTTGCAGGATAGGAGGCGGATCATTAAATAAGGATGTTTGAGGGTGGAGAAGGAGGGAGCATGGATGGGGATGAGGAGAGGTGGCCAGTGGGGAGGACGCACAGGAGAGTGAGGCGGACAAGGCCAGTGTATTGAGTGGGGATGGTTCCATGCAGACGGTTGTTGCTCAGGTCACTGCAGGGAGAGCGTGGAGAGGGGAAGGGAGGAAGGGACAGGAGGGAAGGGAGCGACAAGGAGGGGGCATTGATGTGGTGTTTTAAATAACTCAAAGATCAATGAGACAATGGCATAGGTAGGAAGGTTGACCCAAATTGGGGGAATTTGGCACCCCTGTTTTAACCTAGCTGGAGACTGGTGTTTATCAACCAGCTAACTTTGTTTCAGCTCCACAGGTATGGCTTGTCGACACGATCTGGTATTGTGAGCTACCCTTGATCTCTACTTGTATAATCCAAATAAAAACCAGTGTTGTATGTGTGTACTATGGCTCCCATGGGTCAGCTGGGCGCATCACTCACATGGCTTCCAGTTTCAACCGTCCTCTGAGAAGAGTGGGCAGGGTGCCGCTGATCTGGTTGCAGCAGAGGCTGCTGGGAGGTGGGGGGTGCAGAGCGAGAGAGGGGTGCGCAGGCAAGGAAGTGAGTTGGAAAATTCAGAAACAATATGTGACGAGAGAAGGAATACTGGAAAGCAAGGAAGCACAAGACAAGGAAATGGGAGAAAGAGGGGAGAATGGAAAGAAGATTTTGAAGTGGGTAGGGGAGTGGAAGGAAAATAACTTCATGGGACGTCCCTTGGGCATTAGGGTTGGTGGGGCACTGACACCACTTCGAGGTTGGCAAGATTGGAATACTCAGCAGGTATGGAGCCAGACAACTCGTTGCCACTCAGATTGCTGCCATGAACGAGGTGGCGGGGGAAGGGGGAGAGAAGGGAGAAGGGGGGGGGGGGGGGGGGGGGGAGAAGGAAAGGAGGAAGAAAGGGGGGAAGAGAAGAAGGCAGGAAGGGAGCCACTTGTTGAGCTCCCTTAGACGCTCTTTGTTTGTTGTCTAGAAATACCAGTCTTGTTGTCCTCTCAATACACTGATCACTCGAGAAAGAGAGAGAGAGAGAGAGAGAGAGAGAGAGAGAGAGAGAGAGAGAGAGAGAGAGAGAGAGAGAGAGAGAGAGAGAGAGAGAGAGAGAGAGAGAGAGAGAGAGAGAGGGGGGGGGGGGGAAGGGGAGGACAGCTACGCACCATGCCCTTAGGGATGAGATTGCAAACATCGAGGCGGAGGCGGGCTTCACAGTGCACAAGGAGACGTACATCTACTCTCTCGTTGAAAACCTAAAGGCGGATTTCACCATCCGCCATCCCCTGACAGGAGAGGTATGGTTTGTGTGACGTGACTGTGACTGATCCCGTGTCCTACCAGGACGAAGAATGCAGTCGGGCTCCAGGGTGGGCAGCAAGGGCGGCAGCAGCTAGGAAGGAGGAGAAATACGCGCGAAGGAACGCGTGGGTGGGCTTCCATACTCAAATCTTCTCAAACCTGTTCCCATGGTTTAAATTTAGGACCTCTTTGAAGGAATGTGTCCCTCAAAATGCATGCTACATGCAGAGAGCCCACCACCATGCACCTATCAGAGTTGCGAAAGAGGAAAGAGCGTGGGAGAGGGCAGAGGTGCAGTGCAGCACTTACAGGGCCTTGAGGATAGTCATTCTGCCGATGCTGGTTGGGAGGGGGCCGGTCAGGTCGTTGTGGCTCAGATCGCTGGGTGTGAAGGCATGGAGGATTGGGTTGGATGGGTTAGAATGTAAGGAGAAATGGACGGGATATGTTGGAAGTCAGTGGGAGAGATGGGTACATACGCATGGCATGGTGAAAATAGACGAAGAGGTTGCCATTTGTTTGGACTTGCCATAGCAGAACCGATTATATGGAATCAAAATTCATGACATGGCATAGCATATGGCATGACGTATGGCATGTCATGGGAAGGTGCATGGCTAAGAAAGAGCTCACGTGAAAGGGAGCATGAAGCAGCAGAAAATTAGCAATGGGCGTACAGGCTGGTGAGGACATCCAAGGCTGTGATCCCTGCAGGCGCTGTTCCCCATAGCTAGTTGTAGCTCAGGTCCCTGCCGTGCACATGCAGAGCAGGCACGGGAGGGGGGTGGAAGGAAGACGTGGGGAAAGGAAAGTGAAAGAGTCAAAATGGAAGGGGTGGGGCAGAAAAGGTGAAAGACATTGAGATAGGGAAATTAAGGGCAGGAGGTGGGGTGATGGAAGTGGTTCACGTGCGACCTTCATCTTTGCAATGAATATGAGGTGGGGGGATGGAAGTGGTGGGATACGTACAGCTTCTGCAGGCTGCTGATTGGTTTCAAAGATTCTGCTGGAATGGAACCCGTGAGAACATTGTTGGACAGAGATCTGGAGGAAGAAGCAGAGAGACATGTAGAACGGGAGGGACATACTGTTAAGATTACTTTCCATTTGCAAGAGACAGCACGAAGAGTCCATCTAGGGCCTTCCACCACAGAACAGATGAGAGGGATGGTGCTGCTGGGATTGCAGTGAGGAGAAAGTATGCAAGAGATTGCAGTGCAGTGATGGAAGTCTCTAAGGGCAGTGAGGGGAGGGCATACAACTCCTCAAGGGCAGTGAGGGTGCTGATGGATGTAATGAGCGTGCCCGACAGACGGTTGAAGCTCAGGTTCCTGAGAGGAGAGATGGAGGTAGAGAGGAAGAAGAGGGAGGGTGGAGGGGAAGAGGAATAGATGAAGAAGAGGGTTTGGTGGGAAGCTGTGTGTGGGCGAAGGGTAAGAGGGGGTATCCGGGGGTTGCTTATTTGAGTCTGTGGAACCTAGCAAAGACATAGGGAGAGGAAGATGTGAAGCAGTCACAACACATGATGAGGAAATTAATTATCACAAGTGGATTTAAAAGGTCACAAGACTAGGAAAGGTTAGTGGGCTAACAGTTTGCTTAGTTTAACGAGGCGGGAGAGTGAGGAAGGCATGGATCTCGACAGTTGGTTGTGACTTGTGTCCCTGTGGCACAGCAGGTAATGGCAGGGCATGGCATGGCGTGGAGTGGTGTGGTATGGTGCAGTGTGGCATGGCACAGCATGGTAACGGCATGGTAGCAGGTACCTACGCTGGAAGCAGGAAGATTTTGAAGGCACATTAGAAGAGACAAATCGCATTAGGAAACAGATGGGGACAAGCAGGGGCGTGCAAATTGACAGCGAGTCAAGTAGAAGCACTTGTTTGGACACAGTGCATCCCCTCCCCACTCTCCAAACAGAAAGACGGAGTGACAGAGAAGAGAGAAAGGGCAACGGAACGAGAGATAGTGGATTGAAGGGGGAGACACAAGAAGGGGGGAAATACATTATGATGGAAACACGCTCATTCAATGAGGGGCTTGATGCAGAATATAGCATGCAGCAGAGATGACCATTCAGTGCTTTTCACCACAAGGGTACATGAGGTGATGGTGGTGCTGGGAATGCAGTGAGGAGGGGGCACGTGACGTGAGAGAGATCAATCCAGCGAAACAAAATGAGAGCGATGGAGAGAGAGCTTACATTGCTTCAAGGGCAGTGAGGGTGCTCATAGATGGAACTAGAGTGCCCAATAGAAGGTTGAAACTAAGGTTCCTATGAGGAGTGATGGGAACGGAGAGAACGAGAGAGGGAGGGTGTAAAGGAGGGAGGGAGTAGGAAGAGTTGTAGAAATATGTTGGGGGAAAGGTGTGTGCTACAGTGGTATGAACTCGTGAAGACATGAATGTTGATGCAATCCTATAGTTTGCACTCAGATTGTTGTCCTTGTATGTGCATGCGTGTGTGCATGGAATGGTATGAGGGCATTAAGTCATATATACATTTCATGTTTGTAATAGTGCGTGAATGATGAGTCACAATTACGAATGTGTGTGTCAAGTCAATAGTGAATTTTCTTTAGTCACATGCCACGTGGTCGTTTACGCGTCGTCTGCGTTTTTCTATTTTGTTGTGTGTCAAACGTTTGGCGTATTGCAGATATGTGCAGCAAGCAAGTGATTTCAGAGCTCATGAAAGGGTAAAAATTGAGATAGTGGAAATAGTTTCGTTGAATTGTGTAATGTAACATTTCTCTTAGTGTGGGCCCTTATGGTGGGTAGTTTCGAGGGTTAGAGACTGTATGGCACTGTTCCAACTCGCTGGAACTCGACTCGTAGGATTTGTAGAGGTTGGGAATCATTCCCAACTCGTATCATTTTGTTAATTCGTGCTCTTAAACTATAGTTACTACTACACTGTGTTTGGATAAACCTACACCGGGTCGTCTGTCCTTAAAAGAAATCATGTGATTCAAATTGTAGATGACATTAAGACGCTTCAGACCCAATTTTTAGCATGTCATTTGAAGTTGTGACCAGAACGCTTTCAACGATTGAAGCCGCTAAGCAGAAATTCGTCTGTGCACTTTATTTTTTGTTTTAGACGCATTTGCCTATTGTGACCATAACAATGAAGATATAGGGACATGAGAGCATGAGCAAATAGATCAT